GTTGTTTTTTGTCTCTGAAATGGACTGGTTGTCTCATCACCATCTTCTGTGAATGTAGGAATTTAGCAGGTCTAGCAAACATGAACTGACATGTTAGTCTGATTAAATTTTTGAATCTTGAGAAAGTTAAAGATGTAGGTCAGAAATGTTTAAGTGTATTTGGCCTAATCTACCACCATTGGCTCAACCTGGAGGATCTTCTTAAGGTAGTCCTTCTCAGTCACTGCCTCCTTAACCTTCTCCAACATCTGATCATTTCCACTTTCCTTCAGATTAATCACAAACTTCTCAAAATACTGAGCAGAAGATGGGCGTACTCAATAACATGGTCGCCAAGACCATATCCTCCAGTGTGAATCCCAAAAATCTGGCCATGAGCATCAAACACTGGAGAGCCAGAAGCTCCATGATACATGAAAGTGTTGTAAGCAGCCACCTTTTCTGCTTTTTCTCCACCCATCATTATATCATCAATGCCTTGGTCCTTCAGTTCATTTACTTTTTTGACAATGACCCTTTGGTCTTTGTATTTAGCCAAATGATCCATGACAGCCTCTTTTCTCTTTTCTGGCTCAATGATGCATGTAGGATCTATTTTCTTCACACTTCCTGCAGGGTGTCCAATAAGACAGGCCTCTCCACTTCCAGGAAGTGGACCAAATCTGTTCAGCAGCCCTGGTGGTACTTTTACATTGTCTGGTTTGGATTTGGAGTTGGGTTTTGTGCCATCTGGTTTCAGCTGAAGGACAGCAAAATCCAGCTCAAAGTCAATGTCAACAAATGTTTTCTCAGCAGAGAAGTGAAAGTAATTTGTCTCTGGCTCAGGTTCGTCATAGTTAAACAGAGCATAGACTTCTACGTGATCCAGCAGTTTCTTTCCTTGGACACAGTCTTTAAACAGGTGTGCACTGGTCAGGATAAACTTGTCAAACAGCACAAAGCCTGTTCCCTGTGAAGCATTAGTAACAATGACTTTACAGACAGATTTGCCCATTCTGATCAACTTCTCAAGTCTATGAACTTCACTGAAAGACTGTTGAATCTTTCCAAACTTCTCAGTCCCGAGGTTCAGAGCTTTCTCATAAGAATCACCAGGGAATCTGCTCTCCATCCATTCTTTCAGCTCTGGAAACTGCTGACGCAGAAGTTCATAAATCTCTTCAGTGGAGCAGCCGCTGTTAACTGGCTCTTCCATTGCTTTTTTAACACTTCTCCCACTGACACGAGCAACATTTAGGATGGAGATTGTTGGGTTTCCAACACTTTCCCGTTTATTCAGTGGAAGACGTATCTTGAACTTCTTACGGTGGAGGCCATCAACCTTCTGTGTGTGCACAGTGAGGCGGTTGGGTTTCTTGTTATCAGACAACTTGAATTCTCCAAGATTGTCAAGGAATCGGCCATCTTGCTTCAGAGCCTCTTCAACCGTCATCCCCTTTTCCCCATAAACACAGAGAAACTTGAACTGTTTAATGATTGTGTTTCTGAAAAACTCCTTTGTTTTGGTTTTCAGACCCCCAACGGTATCAATGTAGAAGACAGAATAATTGTCTTTTGGATGTATGGTTTTGTCATGCTGCTCCTGAACTTTCTCAATCTTTTCTGATATATAGTGATGTAAAATCACTGTCTCCCCTCACAATACAAGAACAAGGGAAATGTGTCGGAACCACATTCCTTGTCCTGTTTACCCAACTGAATGATGACGCTCTCATCTGCATACTTCATTATCTTCTCAGTTGTGCCAAGACCGGATCTAATTGATTCCAGGATTGTACGCGGTTGATCGCAGCTGATGGTGTACTCTTTAAGTTCTGTTGGAGTGAGTTTTACTATGAAACGATGGGAATGTGTTGCCTGCAAGAAATCAGTGGGGAAATTTAACTCTGATTACAGAAATTAGGTTTAACAATTGACTGTTTTTGCAGATGATAGAAACTAACCAGAGAATCACTTCCATTCTCCTTCTTCACTCTCATTGGTGTTTGTGTCAGAGTCTAGGAAAAAAAGTAAAGCAAAGGGAATTGGAATTATTTCAATCTCCCTAAATCAGTCTTATTCAGCATTTTTATTTCTGCTTCAGTTTTTACAATTGATCAGTTTATTTTGTAGATGTCCATCTGTCACTGACTCAAATAAAAAGACAAGGGAAAAACAGATGAATAGTCGTTTCCATTGCGCAATTTGACATTTTGAAAACAAGATTGAGGTGTTTTTTTTTTCAGCTGCATCAAATTTCACCAAATTTGGTGGTACATTTAACTGCAATAGAAATGTTTTATCCACATCATAGGAGTCACATGGTCAACAACCAGATGAGAAGCACAACCTGGAAACGCTGTGCTTTTGGCAAACCGAGTTTTACAAAGTTTTAAAGGCAACAACAACTGGGTACAGCAACATATTTATAATGTTTTCAATAATCACTGTCAGATTATGCAACAGTATTAAAAACATCTTCATAAAGATTGCCAAGAAGGAGTTAACTTTTGTAAATATGTGCTTGCATTTCTACATACAGGATGTGTGTAGAAATGCTGTTTGCAGCAGGTGTTGGCCGTAAGCAGGCAAAGCTTAACGGTCCTTTTGTCCTTAAGACAATAAGCGGACATGACACAGGATGTTCATAGTGGACACTTTGAGGAACCGCCATATTAAGATCACTGGGACTGAACTCCTGCTGCAGAAATACAGATCAACCACTGCAGTTTTTAATTTATGATTTGGTCACGATTGCCCCATTGCAACAACAAAGGAAGGAACTAAAAGACTTTGAAGTGTGGAGGGAGATTTATAGATATTATCACAATTTAGCTCAATTCACTTTGTTTATATTCTCAACAAATATCTCAGACCAGTTTCTGAGACAAGAGAAAAGAAGCAAATTACAGACAGATTGAAATTTGTCTACATACTTTCTAATAATACAATTCAGCCAAGTTCAGTTTACTAAGTTAGAAGGAGGCATATTATACTGATTGTTTATGAACTTGCAGCTCACCTGGGACTTTCCACCACTTTTTGTTGGTGTTTTGAAGGAACTGCCAGAACATCCTGTTAAAAGAAGGCAAATGTGTAACAACAGCAATCCTTTTCAACGTACAACTCCCAAAGTCAAGGTCATAAATATTAGGCACCGAATAAATAAAAAAATTGCTTTGTTAAACCAGCGTCTTACTGACATTTTCCTTCCCAAAGTAGCTTCTGATGTCTGGCATTTTTTCTGAAGTCTTTCGTTTTTTGGGAGCCATTTTGATGAGCTGTGAAAACGACAAAGACAGAATTTTAAAACAACCTGAACAACTAGTCACACAATGAGAATGAATATTAACTATTTGCACTTTTGTTTAATCCAAATTAAGTCAGCGGCTCCATTAGGAAAATACAAAAAGGGAAAACTTATTCTTTCAAATGTCCAAATAAAATTAAAGTGTCTTTTTAAAACTGTATTAATTGAAAAAAAAAAAAAACAAGTGGGAAAAAAAGCCCTGATGTGACTCACAGCTCCCATGACTCACATCAGGAGTCATACTGGGAGGGTTTAAGCTCCCAGTAAGAGCGGGAGATTAATTCCTCATTAGCTGTCAAGCCCCAACAAGGGCGCCGCTGTAACTTAGTAAGGAGTCCAACCTGCCATAAAAAACACTGAAACTGATTTTAATTTCCCCCCTATTAGAGTGAATGACTCATGCATGTAAAGTTTGCATTTTGCAGGGGGGTTTGAACTAAAAATCCTAATATTAATGTTAGTTAATGTTGTGCAGAAACATTAGCTGCTGCTGCTGCAGCTCCAAGGGAAGCTGCAGGTCAGAAGCCAACTTCATGCTGTCTGGTTGTCATAACTTCACACCACTGAGTGTATAACAATTCATTACATCAACAGAAATTATACATTTAGAAATTACATCATTTTCCCGTTTTAAATTTAACATAACTTGTTTTTTTGTCCCATGTTGTTAAATATTTGAACATTACTTACGAAGCTTTTCTGCCTGGAAACTGTTGTTGACTTTAAATGTACAGTAAAAAGTGAGAAAAATGGCGTAAACAACGGAAGGAATGATACCGACAGCAGTGGAAGAGAGGTCCGAGAGGATTTATGGTTGTTAACCGGCAGACATTAACCCACCAGTGGGTGTTCAGTCCTGCCGTGGATCCTCTCTCTACCCTCTCACCTGCCACTGATCCAATGTCAGCTACTGAGAGGGGATTTAGAAAATGGCGCCATGTGTCCAGAGCCAATCATCGACGACTACGTTTTGCATGGTGCATTCAACTACGACTGGGAATTCTGATACTAAAAAGAACAAACATCCATTTTAAATCAAATTTTATATAATCGGTTTACATGTTGTTTTTTACGTTTGCTAGTTTCGTGTATGTTCAGCAAAGTTAATTTTCTCGTACCGTCAAACTAGAGGTGCGAATCCAAGTTGTTGTAAATTTCCTGTTTCTGATTTTGTTTGAACTCAACCTGGAATGGTTTCATTTCAGTCCACAAAACCTCGCAAGAGTAGTTTTCGCTTTTTTTGTAGGGTCTTGGTGCAAAACTGATCAAAAATCGATTTATTTACTGCATGCTTATGTCTGTTAAGGTTAAGATGGAGTTTCACATGAAAGCAGCTCTTTAAACTACGAATGACTGATTATTTCTGATAATAAATTAGAATGTATTTTTATTTATTCCTACTTACGGAACGTTTCTGTTTATATCATAAGTTTTTTGTGCCTATCCAGAAAGGAAAATCTCAAACTTCAGATATTTCACAAAGAGACATTAAGATGATGAAAAAACCTCACATAACCTTATTAAAGCAGAAAGTACTGCGGCCACCATAAGAAAGTATTGAATTATGCCGCATAACTGACTGTACAGTACTGCCAGGGGATGCAAAAGAAAAGAAAATCCCCATGTCCCAAGGGGGCGCTGTGTTTTTGATAAGAGTCATAAGATTGTTGGACTAAACTACATGCATTTCATATGACATACACTTTGAAAATATTTCAGAATTATTTATTAAATACAAATTCAGATGTTTTGGCAAATAAATATTTCATTTGACAACACGGACATTTTTGACACTTCAAAATCAAACTTCTGCATTTTCAGAGAAGTACTCATTCTCTGTGTTGATGGTTTAGGACAATAAACCAATAATTTACCTGTGAAATTAACTTAAATGGACAATAGTTAAATAAAACATGAGCTCCAAATGAAACATTTAAAACAAGCAGACCTGAAAACATAAAAAGCTTTTAGGAGTAACCAGAACCGTTTGGACAGAGAAGTCCTGATGTAAACACTGTGCAGAGAGCTTTAGATAAATAAAGCAGAAACTCATAACTGGAGTCAAACAATCCAGCAGCAAAGAGTGCAAATAAAACCCAATTAAACCGAGATAATACAAGATGAATTAATGTTTAATTTAAACAAAACCTGTTTCAAGAAGCAGTTTAAGAATACTGGATCTGTGCCTGGAGTTTCCTTTGTGCGAGCAAAGGAAACTTGATTTTGCAGCAACGTTTCAGCCCAGAAGAATTAATCCAGCAGGAAATTCAGCAAGAGTTCAGAACAGCGGCCTGAAGCAGTCCTTTTTGGCGCTGACTGCAGATAATCCTGTAGCGGTGTTCCTCAGGGCTCTACTCCAGGCCCAGAGAGAAGTTTATCCCATGAACGATGCCGATGATGATGGGTTGCCAGGCGACTAAGTACCGCAGCCAGTCGAGCAACTGGCCGTACAAAACGTGGGTTTTCTCCCAGCTGGAAGCAGGAGGAATTAAGGAGAACAGCACAGAATACCGCGGCTCCACTACATCAGGATTAAAAATCAATTATTTCACGATTCCTCAGTTTTTATTGAAGTAAGAACAGACCGAAAATGATTTATCTTCAGGATATCAAGCTTTTAAACTCAATATGGTGTAAACTTTTGTGTAGCTCCTAATGCAAGTGACAAACATATGTTTGTATTTATTATTCTTACTTTATGTGACTTTTAAAAAAATAAAATATTGTTGAAGGAAACTTGTGGAGCACAACTTTCAAGGATACGGGTTGTTCATCATCCTCTTCAGGTCCACCTTCTCGTTGCAGTACGGACACGTCTGCTTCTTACCCACAATGCACCAGCCCCGGATGCAAAACTCATGGAATCTGGCAGAGTCTGAGTTAAGGCTGACAGGCTCCACATGGAGAAAAGGAGCGTTTTCCTGACCTGGAGTCACGTTCCTGCTAAGAGAAAAGCCTGAAGCAGGAAGAAACGAGAGCAGGATACATGTGACCACAGGAGAGCTGGAAGGTGTCCTCTATAAATCCCTCCTCCTCCACCTCCACCAGGATCCTCTGACCGCACACGGCACAGATGTCTCCACTCAGGCTCCTGCTGGGCATGCCGCCCTTGTTGTAGTACTGAAGGCACACAGATGGGTGTTTCAGTATTCTACAAATAAGACCATCAAAGTAATAACCAGAACATGATATGGGGCTACTACATTTTTCTCTAAACATTTATAGATATATAAAATGTGCTGATTCTGCAAGCTTGAGGTAATTTTTTGTTATTTTCTGCAGAATTTTTTGCACTTAGAGTAAATATTTACTCAGACTGGACGGTTTTGTGCATTAAAACCATGTTGGGTTGCAGTGAAATGGTCTCTGCTGAAGGCAGAGCGGCTTCCTTTACCCCGATCGTAGAAGCCATGTAGTCAGAGCAGATCTCTGCAAAGTCGCGGCCCATGACACCGTAGTAGAGACCGTAAAACAGCATGATGACACCCACGTCCATGGAGTCCTCCGCCTTGATCCTGCACAGGCAAACAAACAGGAGAAAGACGAAATGTTTTAAAATAAAGGTAAAAATTACTGCACTTTATTGAATTATAATCAGTTTTTCTTTTTATTGTACCTCAAACTGCAGCTGATGCATTTGCAAAATAAAAAAATAGACAAAGTAAGTTTCTTTGCTTTCAATTCACTCAAATTTCAAGATTTTTATGTAGTTTTAGAACATTACTGTAAAACATTAACCTTATACTGGTTGAATGGTTGAAAGATATTTTTATCTACATGCATCAAAAGTAAAGGGAAAGCTGGGAGACATTTGCTTCTGGTGTTCAGAGCTTGTAATGTTGCTACAGAGATTTTCTACATCAGGACAAACTTTGATCACCTCTAATTCAAAGTGAGAAACTTCTTAAATAAAGGCTAAAAGTGCAACACTGAATGCAGATTCTTTATGGTACGGTTTATGAGCACAACAAATCTTATTTTGTTTGAAACAACTGAACAAAAACTATAATCTTTAGTGCTTTGCTTGACATTTTAAAACCAGTAGAAGACCACAGGTTGGCCTTTTTTCATCTTTGAATGATATTTAGTGAGACAAAACTCAAAATAACAGTGAATAAAATGGTAAAATCAATGTGTTGCAAATCAAAGAATCATGTCAATTTAACTTTTGAAAACTATTACATTAATAAACCATTATTATTCTGTCTGTAGAAAATATAAGGTGACATGTTTATTTTCATCAGTCATTTACACTTAAAAACTAATTAAAACAACTCACACCTGTTGAGAATCCACATGACTTGTGTTTTTGCTTGGTTGTGACTGAGCTGACTGACCTGAAGAAGACGTTGAAGCCGAACATGGTGAACATGATGGCCAGGTAGCCCAGGACGCCCACAGCGTAGCTCAGCTTGTAGATCAACAGGAACCACTTGTAGACCATCCTGGACAGGAAACACAAACACGGCGAATAAAAACAATTCAACACGTCAACACAGAGATCCATGTTTATTCAGGTTTCACAAATAAAACTGAGAATTTTACGTTTCAAAAGCCTCACACAGGAACCTGGAAGACATGGTATAAACTTCCTCCTGCATCCTTTTCATCTCCTCTGAGATTTGGGGTCAGAGTTCAGGTATTATGTGAGCATTTAAGATGCTAATCAGCTGCTCCTGGTTGTAAAAATAACACTTTGTTGCCATGATTACACTTCCAAGCAGAAACTTTATTTCTTCCGTCTGTGCCAGACATCTCCATTGAAGTTCATGTTTCTGTCTTTTTGTTCAACTCTCATGTTCAACCAGGCACCAAGAGCCTTGCTTTCAAGTATGGAAGCTGCAGCAGCCAAAATACTGCAGAAACTCCATGACAATCATCATTTATTTATTTCTGATCTATTGTAGTCGACCAGGTTCTCCTCTTATTATTAAATCTGTAGGACTCGTTTATTTTAAAATTAGTAGTTTTTAGGAATCGTTCTCCGAGTCGGCCTCCTACCTGGGGGTCCTGCAGGACAGCGGCTTGCGGGTGGCTCTGAAGATGATGTAGCTGGTGATGACGGAGAACATCCCCCACATGGACAGGAACCTCCACCAGTACAGCTTGATGGTGAAGTAAAGTGGGACCACCCACATCTGGACCAGAGTCACCAGCTGGAAGAAACAGAGCACATCACAACTTCACTCCAAATCCCAAATCTGGCAAAACTTTAGCTAAAACCACCAAGTTTTTATATTAATCTGGGTTTGTTTAAAGGGAAAATTTAGATTTTTTAAAGTGGATTTTGTTAAGAAGCCACCAGTTGTTCCTTTCTGACCTTTGGTTTTATTGAAAGGAGTTTACAGATTACATAATAACAGACATTGAGGTCAGAGGCCCCATCTGGGTCAACTTTACATTTTGGAAAACAAACCTGTAAAGATTTCTTCCTGATGAACAGAGCAGCTTCCTCACCCTGAGTACACCATACCCATGGTGAAACATGGTAGTGGCAGCATGATGCTGACACCATACTTTTCCTCAGCAGTGGAAGCAGACATGAGCTATTTAGCAAACATTAAACTAAATTCCACTCATAGCATATAAAAATAGTAAATATTGACTCAGGGGCTGAATATACAGACATGCCACACTTTTCTGATTTTTAGTTGCAAAAAAAAAAAAAGGATATTTCAATTTTTCAATTTTCTTGCACCTTACATTTATTAACTACTTCATGCTGGTATGTCAGGTAATAAAATAAATTGAAGCGTGTGGTTTTGAGGAGACGAAACGTGGAAAAGTTTGTCAGAAAAACCACCAGGTGTTTGCGTTTTCATGGAGAGCAGCTGGATTTGTCTGGCTCAGAGGAAGCAGATCTTGCTCACGTTGTAGGAGCGGTGATGCCTCTGCTTCCACTGCACCAGGACGATCTGCGCCACCACCAGCGTGGCGATGAGGATCAGCACCATCTCCGCATGCATGGCCTCATGACCCCGGTGCTTGACGTGCAGCCGCTCATGCTGCACCCTGCAGAGAGGAGGAGGAAGCTGGAGTCACGGCTGATGATGCCTGTCCCTCAGCATGATGACGGGAGCCGCCTGCACTCACCTCCAGTTCTCCGGTGGGTCATCTTCAGCAGGTCGTCCTGAGATGATGGGACACAAATAGCAGCAGCTGGGAGGTTTGAACTCTCTGGACATTTAAATGTAGGTCAACACGACTCAGCCGCTCAGGTAAAGCCGATACAACCCGGAGAAACGTCATTTAGCAGCAGGTGATGACATAACGTGGTTGAAACGTGAGTAATAACATCTCTGTAATGCCACGTCAAAACACCGGCAGTTAACGGCTAGTTAGCCTGTTAGCTTGGCAGCAGTTATCCGCGCTCATTTCCGCTTCTTCACGTAAAACACGGAACAGTTCGCAGTCAGACCAGAATAAAATATTCCTATTTTAACAGTAAACCACTGACCTGAGGTTGAACCCCCGCCATGGCCTCACCCTGTCCGCTCCTGGCGAAGACCAGCCGGCCGGCGGCGTTAGCGGCTCCGAGCCGAGTGTACGCGACGCCGTGAGGGACAATACGCACAACTTCGCATTTTTAAAATACCATTCCTAAAGAAGCAAGTTGAATATAAATTTTAAACCAGATTTTACACTAGTAAAGCTTTCCATACGGAAGATTAGGGCATCTGAAAATATTGTTTTTATGATTAAAAGCATCAATGTTTGATGAAGTTTATGACTTGTGCCTGTTAATACGAAGTCTTCATTCTGCCTGTATGACTATTTTCATGTTTACTTTATTCTTGGAATATAAAACAAATCTTAGTCTGACCCGATTAACTATCACACCGGTCATGAAAGAAAAGTATTTCTAGCAGAAGTTATATTTTTATTTTGCATACAGATCTATAAATGTCACTCATCCAGAAAATAAATCTTTAGAAGTGTAACAAGCCATCAGCCAAAACCTTAATAGCCCAGTTGGTTGAAATCTAAAAATTCACATATAAAAAAAATATTGTCATTTAGTTCCATTAAAAAATAATCAAAACATTTTTCAGGCCTTTGTTTCATGTTAAAGTTAAATCCAGATGAATGACAGCAGAAACAAAACACTTTCATCAGTTTAACTTTCAGACTTTATTAATAAATTGCAAAACAATCAAAGGGACCAGCAGCAGTCGTCCTCACCGAATCCGTCCATCTGAGGGAAGAAGAGAGAAAGCGTAAGAAAAATACAGATTTGATTAAATTGTTGCAAGCAGAAGTAAAGTCGCTCAGACATCCAAGGAAGGTATGAACCATCTTCGGTCTTTAGACCTCTGGAGGAAACTGCGAATGGATGGAATATACGTCATCACAGCGACTCAAAATAAAGTAAATATAAACCTGAACGTACCATCAGCTGCATGAGGTCTGGAACCACTGGAGACGACCCAGCAGGTTGCAACGTTTCACCACCTGGAAGAGGAAACGTCTGGTTAGTGCTTTTCTTATATTGTAGACGGAACAAGAAGTGGAAATCTGCCCTCCATTGTGCTGCTTTTTAGTAATATATCAGAAAACGATTCATTTCTACTCTGCTCTCCTTTAAACTGAGTCAGTCTGAAAAGCAGCATGTCGCGCTGCGATCCTCTGGCAGGAGCAGACCAGCTGCTGGAAACGGCCCGAGTCAGACATGTTGGACCAGAACGCAATAGGACAACTCAATTTTATACAGACGAGGTTTAGGATCACTAAAAAATACATTTAAAAAAGTATTTTGAGACAAAAAGTGACTTTTATGAGTCATAATTCTAAAAAATTTGATATTAACTGCCAATAAATTCTGTTTGAATTAGACTGAACCGATCAGATCTCACTGACAAACCGGAGCAGGAACATCAGAGGCCAGCAGAAAGGTTGGACTGGACCTCACTACACAACAGATCAGCTATACACTGATTTAGTTCAGGACCAACTAATCTCTTAAATGATCAAACAGATTAATTTGTTTTCGCTCAGACATCCAAGGAAGGAATGAACCATCTCTGGTCTTTCAACCTCTGGTGGAAACTGCGAACGGATGGAATATACGTCATCATAGCGAACAGACCTGGTCCATCACACACCCGTCAAAACGGCTCGAAAAAATGAATTAAGACGTCAGGTACCAACCTGCATGCCTCCAATACTGAAAGGCCTTCCTGCAGAAACTCCTCTACCTGAAACAAGAAGCAAAAAGATTTAAAGCAAAGGATGGAAAAATAAATAATCAATAAGGTTATAGTTTAGGGTCGCTCAGACATCCAAGGAAGATTTGGCCATCTTCGGTCATATAAGACCTCTGGTGGAAACTACGAATGGCAGGAAAATCGTCATCACAGCGACCAGACAGGTTGAACATAAACTGAACCAAACGTACCAGTTAGATGAGCGGAGAAAACCCAGCAGCTTCATCGTTTGGCAAGAAAATCACCAGGAAGACATTCAGCCTGTCAACAGATTCATACGATTCATTTTCAACTGTAATCCAAGGAAGGTTTAGATTAACTTTCAACTGAAAATATTATTCTAATACTCAGAACCAACAGCACTGTCACATTAAAACACCCATTTTCTAGCAACTAATGATAATTTAGGCAAACAAATTTGAGGTTTTAATTTTATACAAATTTAAAACAGGGATCCTACATGCCAGTTCAAGATCTAGGAAAGTTTCTGCTTTGAAAAATTTTTTAAATCATCCCCCTAAAATCACACCAAGTCACCAGCATTTATTGCTTTCTGACATGGTTGCACAAAACTTGCCTTTGACAGAAGGTCAGAGCCCCGTTTTAACAAATACTGTTCCAACTGACATCCATATTACAATTATAATTGTTTTACATTTTCAGTGGTTTTCAGGAGGCCATGCTTAAAGGTTTCCTTTATCTAGATGGAAAATAAATAATCAATAAGGTTATAATGATGGTTTAGGGTCGCTCAGACATCCAAGGAAGATTTGGCCATCTTCGGTCATTAAGACCTCTGGTGGAAACTACGAATGGCAGGAAAATCGTCATCACAGCGCAGGAAGTGAATGCAGCCAGTTTATTATGATATATAATTTACCTGAAAACTCAGGTTTGATTAAACTTTTATGTGATTATCCTTAAAATAAATTCACTTAGTTTTTATAGGCAGAATTTCTCTCCATATTTCAGATTTAACCATAAACAAACGGATCTTATATCATCAATACTCTACCTGAGGAGATTCTCGCCTTTCTTCTTCTCCTTAATATATCGGTAAAGGTCAACCGAGCCTCTACGGTGGCTGGGAGGACCATTTTCTGTCCAACCAGCAGAACCCTGTGGAAACAGTTGCAGTCAGAAAGGAACCAGAACAAATCTTTACTGTTACTGGTGAGAACAGTAAACGCTCAGACATCCAAGGAAGATTTTGCCATCTTCGGTCATTAAGACCTCTGGTGGAAACTACGAATGGCAGGAAAATCGTCATCACAGCGCAGGAAGTGAATGCAGCCAGGATCACCTGGAGGAGACTCACCTGGTCTGAGCTGCTGCTGCTGGTTCAACGCTAGAAACGCATCAACCCTGCAAAAAAGAGGAGAAATAAACAAATTATTCAGCTACACATCAAGATGCATTTTCCTCATTAATGTAATAAATAAAGGTACCATAATGTGGCGTTTGAGCAAATGAATGAGGAACATTTAGTCTGGTTTCTCACAGACTAAATGACATTTTATTTAAATGATGTTAAATGTAGCCACAAAAACATTTAAGCAATAATAAATCATGTCATTTTACTACAATAGGCAATTCATAATGAACACAATTAACTCTTCTACACATGTTCAGTAATTAAACTATTATTGTAATAATCTAAACATGTTAAATCTACAGATATTATATAATTATACAGGCTGAAGCCAAAGAAACACGGAAAAAATACAAATAAATAACTTTACAAAATAATTATGTCACTTTATCGGTAAAACGCAATGAATTAAAAGCAAATTCATCTTTAATCCCAGAAAGTATCGTGAAATGAGCTCGAGATGCGTCACAACGTGGAGGCGAAAGTTTGCGACAGAAATCAGCGACAAACAATCCAACTCCATCCACCAAATAAAGTCACCATCTCGTCTTCTCGTTAGTAGAAAGATTAAACGTCACATCTAAACAGACTGATGTTAAATTATACCTTTTAATCTATGAGACAAACACAAAACTCAGCAGTAAAGACGAAGTTACCTGCTCCTCTCGCCCACTGTGGCAAAATGACCGAAGCGAAGTTCCGTCTCTGCTTAAATACGTCACGGTGCACGGGCGCCGCCTGCCGGACGGGAGGTGAACTGGAAAAAAGAAAATTTATTGCAGTTTAGATTTATTTCTTTTTTCTTCTTTTTTAAATAAAGAACAAAAATACTGAGGAAGTTCTAGATATTTATTCAAGTCAGGTTAAATCAAATGTTTATATAAATACATATTGTAAGCAAAATACTTTATATATTTTCCGCTTTTATATTTTTAGTTTTTCTAAATAGCTTTCCTTGTGTTTTATGAACTCAAGTCTGAGTGAAAATTGGATTGATGATGATTTTTTTTTAAAAAAGCTGATTTTTATGTGTTAAATGCATTTTCACACACTGAAGTATTTTTCATTATCTAAAATATTTCCAGCAGCTATTGAACACCAGAGTTTTTTGCTTTTTTATGTGTTTTTTTAATCAATCTTCACAAAATCTTATCTTTTTCAGTTTTCAAAGTTTTATGTTCTTTAAATTAATTCTTGAAAGTAATTAGGCCTATTGTATTTTTATCCTTCCCTGCTTGGGTTTCTCAGATTTTATTTTTTGTTTTATCAGTAGTAGTACTTTAAAACTACTGTTCTCTGTTTTTTAAAATCATAATATATTATATAATGTTCTTGCTATACATAGCATACCATCTATATCTGCACAAAAAGAGAGAGAGAAATCTTGTGACTATTGCAGGTCAAGAGACACTAAAATGAATAGAGTGTCATTGAGAAAGAGAGTATGTGGACATATGGACCAATCCCCTCTCTCCTTTTCCCTCCATCTAGCTCCTGATTGGATGCTCAAAGTGCATATTATTTGTGTCCCCTCATCCTCCACCATCCTCCTCCTCATCCTCCTCCTCCTCCTCCTCGCTGGTGGTTGTTGCTGCTGCAAGCTGCTGGTGTTGCTGTGACGATGATATCCTCCCCCTCTTACACACACATACACACACAGACTAGGAGGAGAGGAGAGAAGAGGCAGCAAACAAGACAGTTTTTCATGACGCGATGGCTGCAGGCTGGAAAGCAGACGCTCCCACTGATGGCCTGGAAAACAGGGTGAGAGCTGGATGCATTTCCTGGGGACAGAAGGATGGATGGATGGAAAGGTGGAGGGGTGGATGAGTGATCGATGGGTGGAGGAATGTTTGATGGTGACAGCAGCAGCTGTAGCATGCCTCAGAGAGGGGGATGATGCAGAAAGGACTGCATGATGGGATCTGGGATGGAGGAAATGAGGATGGACCGACTGAATGCAGTGCAAACTGACCAGCTATCTGTGGATAAATAATCAGTTATCTGTGAGTGTGTGTGTGTGTGTGTGCGTGTGTGTATGTGTGTGTTTGGTGTGTGTGCTGTCAGGCCTGCATGCACATGCTAGCATCCTGTCTGCTAACAGAAACAGAAGGTACGTCACTTCTCTGAAGTGAAACTGAGCGACACATTCTGTCTATAGGAACATGCAGTTCCTGCAGAATTCAAATGGATCAGTGATCAGATGCAACCGATCAACTGATCAGTAAAAAAAAAAAAAGATGCTTAAAGCTGGAAAATCCAGTTGAGTGAGAGAAAATGGATGCAAAACAAGTGCAAATAGAAAAACACGGCTGAAAATATCACTAAAAATATGCAAATATTAACTTAAAGAGGAAAATATAACGTATCATAAATTCAACAATAATTGGATTTAGGAAGAGATGCAGAAGAAAAGACAAATCAATTCAAAATAAAGTCCATAAAGCCGAACAAGAGCTTCATAAATAGACTCGGATTGATTTCTAAAAGGCATTTGATGCATAAATGTTAAAATGACAGAACAGTTGGACCAAAACTCTGAATAAAAAGTTGTTATAAGAAGATCAGAACAAGCAAACAAGTAAAAAGAAAACTTGAAGTAGAAATAGAATCAAATCGACTAGAAAGAGACAAAACACTTGAAACACAAACAAAAATATTGCTAAAAGATACAAAAATGGCAACAAATATTACAAAGCAACTTTAAAACACACATCTGTATAAAAAACTGCAATATTGTTAATTATTTTCTTTTTATCATGTGGATTTATAAAATGAATGTTACAGATTGGCTTTCATTTTGAAGTGTCAGATTATTTCACTGCATTTCTTCCAGATTTTTACCATCAGCTACAAAAGATTATCAATAAAAAACAAAACACATTAGTTCAGCCAACATGAGACCATTTTTATTGCCACAGAGTAAAATTATTAACCTCTTTCTGAATCCCACACACAATATTCCAAAAACACTGCAGAGACGCTGGGACACTTCAACACTTACAGTAGAAAATGAAGCTTCTTATTGATTTCACCCAGAAAGGGAGGAGAGGGAGAGTATGTGTGGGACCAGAACGTGATGAATGAGTGATTACAACACAGAAAAACAGAAAGTGGACACGAACATTCCCGTGGGAACGTCAGAGGAGACGGATCAGATGAACCCAGTGTGTGTGTGTGTGTGTGTGTGTGTGGTGTGTGTGTGTGTGTGTGTTGTGTGTTTCTTTGTCTGATTGGCACCGGTTTGTTGATTTATGGACTTGCTACCAGCAGGTTTCCCTGAAATTAGTTTTTATTGAGCTTTGCAATCAGGTGATGGAGCCTCGTCTGCTGATCCAGACGGATTTAAGCAGTTTTTCAATTAACTGAGTTCTGGTTCGACAGACGAAGCTCATTCAGTCGTGAATGAACTGAATCGCAGCAAAACCTGAACTCAAACAGAGATTAACCCCATATCAGAAGGAGAAAGTATTTTCCTTTTTACTTGTTATGAGGGGTCCCTCAGGGCTCTGTTTCAGTCCCCTTTTTTATCTCATTCCAGAAATTTACTCAATCAATTCCTGACATTTAATTGAACAGAAATGACCTTTCCTCACGGGAAAAGGTCTCGTCCATCAGCCTGTTGCTGATTCGGTGAGATTTATGTGATAATCAAGCCAGTATGAAGGTGAAACAATTTAACGGAAATGTCAGAGCCTGGTTTAATGTAACGAATGAAACGCACATCGTCCATCGGACATGGATGGACTTCATGTTTAGCTTTTGAAATCAAACTCTGACCTGAAACACAAACTTGTGGAACTGATTTGTTCAACTGAAATCTGACATCAGCTCTAAATCCAAGACTTCAGATGTGACGTTTGGTACCAAACTTCTCAAATTCTGAGTTTTTATGCTTCTCGTAGGAGATAATGTCACCATGATAAAGAGGCTCAAAGCGTCTCATTCTGAGTTAAACCTTTTAAACTCTCATTTAGAATAAAACAGCCACAATTTAGTACCAAGAGTTATAAATTTCCCTGTCTAATTTTGTATTTATGTGAATAGATGTCTTAATAAATAGCCTTAATAAATAAATTAGAGTATTTAATGATTGTTCTGCTTCACTGTTGTTCGCTAAGAGCATCTGGAATCATGTCTGCTTTTATGCTTGTGTGGACACTTGAAATCCATCTTATCTTTTTCTGTGTCACTAATAAACAAAAGCTCTTACGACAGGCTGGTTGTAGAGTGCTGCATCTGCAGATGTGAGCTTTATGTGTGTGTGTGTTGCAGACCTGAAAACCTCCATCTGATTGTGTTTTCATGAGTTTTATCAGTGAGAGTCAGCTGCTCTGAGGCCTCTCCTCAGATTAGACAACTATTGTCCTGTTGCCACGTTGGTTGGTTTGTTTGGTGATCCTTTTGTTGAGCGTCCTCAGCTTCGGTCCAGTAGGTTTCCCATCCTTTAAATGGTGTGTCTAATTGCTTTTAGTCAAAGCAATGACAATCATATTTATAGGCGTACCCATCTAGAGACACCAGATGACTGGATAGATATATGACAGCTGCAGGAAGAAAATGAGCCAGTCTGTGCAGCAAGAAGAATTCAACACTAGCTTAAAGGAGAACTTGTTGCAACCAAAGCATGCAGAATCCATCCCTATAGTCATGACATTGAAGCACAAAAGGTTACGGTTCACTCAGATTCTTCAAAACTTTAAATCATTTCATAAAAATGCTGAAACATTTTCTGGAGCATTAAACAATCAGCTCCTCTCAAACATCCAAAACAAGAAGGGCTTGAATTGTCTGCAGAACCGTAACAGCCACAGACCGTCACCAGACACACAACCCACTGCGAGAGAGCGTCCCAGAATCCTTTGCTGCATTGTAACATCAGAGCATCAGTGAATGGAGATGTGGGGGTGTGCATCCTGAAGACTTCAGAGGAATCCTTCTGCGGTACGATGTGTGTGTGTGTGTGTGTGTGTGTGTGTGTGTGTGTGTGTGTGTGTGTGTGTGTGTGTGTGTGGGTGTGTGTGTGTGTGTATGTGTGTGTGTGTGTGTGTGTGTGTGCGTGTGTGTGTGTGTGTGCAGACGTTAGGAGTGGGTTTGTCTGCAGGAGGCTGATCAGAACATCTCAGGGGACAGGCCTTTGAACTGGATTACAAGGAAAACCACTGCAACCCCTCCCCTCTCTGAATTATTCACCAGAACATTGGGCCTCGTGTTTTTAAAAACACTGGAACAGAAATTGCTTGGCTGGCAGAAAAACGATCAACAGTCAGATCTTAGGAATCAAACCTGGTTAGTGAAAGTTGTTACCTGCAGTTTCCTGCTGCTGAGATTCATATTTGAGACATTTTTCCCATTAGAGGTTTGATCTCCTCCTGACTGAGGACCAGACAGATTTCTTGTTCACACCTAACCGCCCATCATCATCACAACGTGTGCATCGCTGATGCAGAGGGAGCCGGCGACCCAGAATGCTCTGCATCGTCAGTGTGAACCCATTCACATGCTGGAGGATAAATATAGGGTCCTGGGATTAAAGAACCCGTCGCCGCTTCACATTTTTCTTCTATTTCTTCTCGTTGGTTGGTGTCACCGCACCCCCACTCGCTCTGTGCAGTCTGTTACCATGGAAACCCCCCACCTTTCTCCATCACTTTGACGTCTGTTTGGTGACCTACATTAAAAGCTCTTCATTAGGTTTTGAC